GGGGGGGGGGGGGGTGCTCGTACCATGCCGAGGTATGCGCGCGGGTGGGTGAGGTGAGGTGGCGGCTGCTGCGATCGATCAGTGGGTGATCGTTCGGTGTGGTTGGAGCAATGCGTCTATGGATGGACACGGATAGGGGGAGACTGGCATGCGCGAGATGGGGGTGGGGGTAGGGGGGGGTGGGGGACGGGAAGCGACGGATTTACCCGTCTCATGGTTCATGCCCGACAGGCTCGCCGGGATAGGAGGCACAGACGGCGGCAAAGTCGTCCCAGGTAAGAGTGACGACATCGGCGCGGAGAGTGACGGCCTCAACCCGGTATGGCTGGGCGCAGCCGGACCAGAACGCCGTCTCGCCAACAAAGTTGCCCTCGCGGAGAACGCCGACAAGTTCGCCACCCGGGAGATAGACCGAGAGCCCGCCGTGGACGACAAAGTGCAAACTGCGGGCAGTCGACCCGGCGCCGATAACCTCAGCGCCCTGGTCAAGGGCAACAAGCTTGCACGAGGCCAGGACGGCGGCGCGAAAGGCATCCGAGGTGCGGGCAAAGCCATCGTAAACCTCCAGAAAGTCGCCCATTTCGGAAATCGACATGTGATGGTCGACGGTCTCTCGGGCGCTGGCCACAAACGCCTCCAACTCAGGCGCCCCGGGGGTTGTGTCAACGTTGGCCCGCTTGCTCTGGACCTCGCGCAGTGCAGCTTTGGCCTCGGGCTCATCCAGCACCTCGATTAGCTCTGGAAGCAATGCGTCGAGCTCGGCAAGCTGAGCCCCGAGTGCGTGCGGATCGTGGGTGTTGACCGCGAGCGCCAGCGAGTCAAAGACTAGCCCCACCCGGGCGCGGAACCGGTGAACTTCTGACAGCTGCATCTTGACGCCGCGTTCTGCACGCTCGCGCCGTTTGGCGTCCTTATGCAGCCGCTCCTGCGCAATGGCCGCAAAATGAGAGCGGTACTGCGGATACGCCGCCAGCGCGGCGTAGAACACCGCCTTGTCCAGCCGGTAGCAGTAGACGTACGAGATGGCCTTGACAGACGCTGTCCGCTTCCCGCCCACAACCACAGCAATCTCGCCGAAAAGTCGCCCTCGCCGAGCCGGCACAGCTCGCGCCCGTCGTCCGACACCACCGCCACCACGCCTCGCGTCACAAAGTACATCGACTCACCGTCGTCGCCCTTGGCAAAGATGAGCGAGTCAGGGTCGTGGGTCTCCTCCTCCAGCTTCCGGACAAGCTCGTTGAAAAAGCCCGCGTTGTGAACGCCCGCAAAAATCGGAACCTTGGCCATCGCCTCCAGCAGATCAGCCTTGACGGCAAACGCGCCGCCTGTAGACAGCGACTGCTGCGACAAATCCTCCAGCCGGGTCAGCGTTGCCTCCAGCTGCGCCGCCAGCGAGCCGTCTGCTGGATTTGCCTTGATCGCCATCGTCAGGTCCGCCAGATCGTGTGAGATCGAGTGCATGTTGTTCTGCAGCTGCACAAGATGCTGCACATCGCTCGAATCACCATGCTCGGCCGTCACCGACAGCAGCCCGCCGAGCATCCGCCCGATCGTCATCGCCACGTCTTTGGCCAACGCGCATGCCGCGCCCATTCGGAACTCATCCCCGTGCGCCGCGCGGATCTTGGCCATGCACATCCGCACATCCTCCGACGCCGCAGCCATCTCTGCCCGGTGCGACTCAATCTCCGCCGCCCCGGCCTCGGCGTCGAGCTCGGCCTCGTCACCGCCGTCGTCGCTGCCTACCCACGACAAGCACGACTCAATCTGAGCCTGCTCCTCGGTTTGCACCCCGACATCAACAGAGTCGGGCTTGACAGCCGCTGCAGCACTCGCCTCGGCCGCCGCAGCCTGTGCTGTAGCCAGAGCCGTAGCCATCTCTGCCAGCCGCGCCTCTAGCTCCACCACTTGCGCCCCTGCCTCGGCCGCTGCAGCCTGCGCCGCAGCCACTTCAGCCGCAGAAGGGCCCTTGCGCCGCTTCTTGATAACCACCACCTTTTTCCGCGGTGACGCTGCCGGAGTCCCATCCGCCATCGTAGAGCTGGTGTTCGAGATAGACTCCGACACCACCTCAGCCTTGGAGCCAGACTCTAGTGCAGGCTTGCCCGACGCGAGATATCCGTACTGCGGTTCAACCGGAAGCCGAAGCGTGGCCTGGACCGCCAGAGCTGGCGTCTTTCCTGCTGAGTGGCACCGAGTCGAGCTGTCGCCGCGCAAACGGCTGCTTTCCCGCCGCCGGCCGCTCTGGCCGTGCACGCCTGGCGATGCCGAGCCAGTCCGCATCCGGCGCACAAACTTGTGCTCGTCGGCCACAGTCGCCACGCACGAGACCTCCAGTGTCCGCTCAAACGCACGATCTTCGTTGATGACCGGACGGAAAGAGCACTCAGCAACCTCGTCGAGGGCCGCGCGTTCGGCAGCCTCACGGCGGGCGCGCTCCTTGCCCGCCTCAGCCTCGGAGAGCCAAGCCCTGGTGCGCTCCGGGACCGGGACACGGGCCGGCGAGGCCGAATCGGACCGGTGGGAAGGGCTGCGACGGGTATGGGCCGGACCTGGCAGAACCGTCGGATGAAAAGTACACTGCTCCATCTCGGCATCGAGCGCAGCCGAGCGATGCGCAGCCAGGTGCTCGCTGCGCTCTGAAGCGGAGCGGAACATGACCTCGTAGTGGACGCCTTGCGGAAAAGCCTTTGCCTTTGCCGCCACCAGACGTCGCGACTTTCGATTGAGCTCGGGATGAAACGGATGACTTTCACCGCAATTGGCATGTGGACCATGGAGCTTGGCCGAGACCACCGTTCCGTCCGACTCGCTGCCGAGGGACCATCCGCCATGGTCATCGTAGAGCAGAGGCTGTTGTTGCCCACCGGCTGGATCATCATGACTTGCATGCCCAGCACCGGCACTATCAAATGCTTCCGTCGAGTATCTCTGTGGAGTCCGGCGGGCGAGTCTTGTCAGCTCAGGCTCAAAGGTGAGATTGGTCTCATACGCTGCTGCCGGCGCAGTCAACCGCTTGCGGACAGGTCGTGGTTGCCGTCGTCCCCGGTGGGGTGACTGCCGCTGTGAAGCAGCGGCTGCCTCGGCCCGGGCCACTAACGCAGGCGTGCTGGAGCTACCCTTGCCCTCGCCTGTCATGTTGAGGGTGGGGTGGCAGTGGGTGAAGGGTGGGGTGGGGTGCGTGGGGTGGAGACCTGCCGAGTATTGCTGCGGTGGGGCGACGGGCAATGGCCGAGTGCGGGTGGACGGGAGACGGGGAGGAGAGGGAGGAGGGTGTATTGTGTGAAGAAGGGAACAGTTATCAAATGTTGTTGCCGGCCTCAAGAAGCGACGGACGATCTAGTCGTCGGGATCCTGAATGCCGCCAGTGGCGATCTGGAAGACGGCCTCGGCCTCGGGCAGCGAGGGCGAGTCGTAGATCTTGAGCACGCGCTGGTCGCCACGGCCCTTGCGAAGGTACAACCTGGTAGTAGAGGCGTGGGCGATGATGTGGCCGCCGATCGGCTTCTTGGGGTCCGACGTGAACATGGCGGCACCATCGACCTGGGCAACAACCTGGTTGCAGATAACGACGGCGCAGCCAAACTCATCGGCAACCCGAAGAAGGGTGCGGAGGAAGCGGGCAAGGTGCATCTGCCGCGCCGAGAGCTCGCCACGGCCCGAATAGTCGGTTCGGTACAGCGCCGTCGCCGAATCGACAATGAGGAGCGCAAAGCGCGAGTCGGCCATCAGCGCTGTCGCCTGGACCAGCAGCTGTGTCTGATGGTCGACGTTGTACGCGCGGGCGTAGGCCACGTTGTCGAGCACGTCCTCACCGGGCAGGCCAAACCGCTCAGCAATCGCCACCAGGCGCTCCGGACGAAATGTGCCCTCGGTGTCGATGTACAGGCACTTGCCCTCGCCGCCGCCCGACGCCAGCGGCAGCTGGCACGTCACGGCCAGCGTGTGGCACAGCTGCGTCTTACCCGTCCGGAACTCGCCGAAGATCTCCACCAGCGAGCCGGTCTCAATTCCGCCGCCGAGAATGTTGTCCACCTCGGTCGAACCCGTTGTGATCTTAATCAGATCCTCGCGCTGCTTCGACACCTCGGTCGCCGTGCAGAACCCCATCGGGACAAGGCTCGCCGCCGCTGCAATGATCTTGTCGGCCTTGGCCTCGGAAATGCCCTTGACGTTGAGGAGCGTCTTCTTGGGCGTGAACGCCACGGCCTCTACCGTGTGAAACCCGCCCTCCACGAGCTTCTTGACGTCGGTGGCAGAGATACCTGCCGTCTGTGTGTGTGTGGTGGGGGGTGGGGGGGGGGGGGCAAAAAAAAAGGGAAATTATATGGGTC